CCCCATTCTTATGTCTTTATTTAAACTTAATTGCTTTCTTCCTCCAAATAACAGTCACACTAGTGGTTAGGGCTTTAACATATGATTTGGGGAGGGATCACGAATATTCAGTCTGTAACATCTGGCAATAAAAATACACAAAATACTATTCTTGGGTATCCCCAGTCAAATGCTTATAAAGGTGAAGTTCTGGGTGAACGCAGTATTTCATATCTTAGAATATTTTTATCAAACTAAGTAATATAAAAATTAAAGTGGTTTATTGCTCCTAACTGTAATAGAGGAAGGGAGGAAAAAGAAAAAATTAGCTTAGGGCTTCAAATTCCCAATTCGAATGCAGCATAAATTACCTGAAAGCTTCCACATCTGCCCTGAAAGGTGGTGGTAGCTGATATTTCTGAAAAGCAAAGGCAGAGATTCATCCTATGAGTGGCTAAATTACAATACAAATTGAATTCTCAACCTTGTAGTGTGGGGCTAAACTACTTTTTATTGGGGCGAATAGGCCTGTGAGTAATGGATCCAATCAACCATCTCAACAGAAGCCAGAAATAGAAATAAGGTTATCCAGGAAAGATTTGTAAAGGACCTGCTTGTCTGATGGCTTAGACCCCTGTGAATTATGTGGACAACTGACAAGGTTTTCGGACAGCAGAAACACTTCTGGCTTGGATTGAAAAGGGCCCAAACACACTAGACATACACATGACAATAAAGAGTTGGAGACTGGGGTGAAGCAGCTACAAGTCAATGAACACCAAGGACCACGGGGAGCCACACCTGGATGGGGCAAGGAAAGATTCTCCCTTAAAGTTCTTAGAAGGAACCTGGCCCTGCTGGCACCTTAATGTAGACTTCTAGACTCCAGGACTGTGAGAGAATACATTTCTGTTGTTTCACTCCACCAAGTTTGATGTAATGTGTCACAGCAGTCTAAGGAAACTGATATCGCAACCACACTGGCAAATAAGCGATTCACATGGTGCTCCCTATTGTGGAAGACAGATACACAGAGAAATTGTGTATCTGTTCTTCCTTTTTGTAATATTTGGTAATTCAGGGGAAATGTGGCTTTAAGAAAAATTTTTAATTTTTACTTATATTTTTTCAGCTTTTCCAACATCCATAATAAATCCCGGTATATCGAAGGATTGATCTATGTAAAGATGATCTGAAAAGAAATATATCAAATTTCCTTTCTCTTGACTCAGACAGTATTGCTGTTATTCATTATTAGTAAGGAACAAACAGAGCAAGTAGAGAAAAGGTTGAGGGGAGATTTAAGGGAAGGCAAGAGGGCAAGCTCATTTTAAATGCATGCCCTTTGAAATGGCACCAGAGGCCCGAGCGGCAGTTGGCAAAGATCTAATGGGAACTTTCAGGCTGCAATTTCATAACATAAACAGTGTGGGTTGGAAGAAATCTCGGATATCATCTCATCTAAAGACATGATATTTACTAGAGGTACAGCATTGGGCATCATTTAGGCATACCTAGGAGGTGAATGCATGAAGATCAGGCCTCTGAGGAGCAGACACTAGCAGGATACAGGCACAACTCTGATGTCTGCACCCAATAATTTGGAGGCAGCTCAGCAGAAGCAGAGGCATGGTTCTCAATCGGTGTGCTATGACACACTAGTGTGGCTCTCTAGGAGGCGGGCCCATCACATTTTAGTCACTGTGTAGGATTTATGGGTCAGGATGAACCTGGAAACCATCATTCTCAGCAAACTGACACAAAAACAGAAAATCAAACACCACATGTTCTCACTCATAGATGGGTGTTGAACAATGAGAACACATGGACACAGGGAGGGGAGCATCACACACTGGGGTCTGTGGGGTGGGGAACTAGAGGATAGACAGCGGTAGGTGGGGAGTTGGGGAGGGATAGCATGAGGAGAAATGCCAGATATAGATGATGGGGAGGAAGGCAGCAAACCACACTGCCATGTATGTACCTACGCAACAATCTTGCATGCTCTTCACATGTACCCCAAAACCTAAAATGCAATAAAATATATATTAAAAAAAAAGATTTATGGGTCATAATCATACGACTTCAGAGATATCTTTCACATGGAAGGTTGAGCTGAGTGGGTCTCGTTCCATAAATATGAGCTATTTAAAACTATATATTTCAAATAAAGGTCTTATGTTTACCAGAATATGAAAAAGTATAAGTAGGGGGAGGAAAATAAATGTTTCTAAAGAAAACAACACAGTGGCAATGTGGTTAAATAAGTCCAAGAGAACAAAGACAGTGGTGAGTGTTCTGTAAGACATTACACTAAAGTCTTATTTGTATTATAGTTAAATCCAATCTTTAAAACTGTTTGGGGAAACTTTGGTCACTTCCCATATGCTGCTTACAATTGCATGATTTCAAAAATGTTGAAGATGACTGCAATAAGGGCTTTCATTATACTTTATAGATTCATGTTTTACACAAGGAACCACCAACCTTGGTTATCTCTGCTGTCAAATCACAATAGACTGAAAACAGCCAATTAGAATTGGGAGGGTTAAAAGAGGAAAGCAACAGCCAGGTAATAAGGAACTCAGCACCTAACCACTGGTTAGCTTCCTAGAAAAAGGCCAATTTGTCACAAAAACTGTGCCTCTCAGATATTGCCCTAACGCCTTGAGCTTAAGCTGGGTTCCCACTGAGACTCAGCCATGTGAGGGCACATTAGGTGGGCTGGTGAGGTACGCACATGTTATCTATTTTTAAGAAAACAAGAATCTTGAAGCCTCCAAGAAAAAAAAATTATTTGAGGCACCCCATATTGTGTTTGTTGTTCCTGTTGCTCTTCAGCCAAGTCCCCACGAACTTGTCTATTCTTAAGAAATGATTTGGCTGGAAGTAAGAAAAGAGAGACTTGTTACCACACAAAATCTCTGTGAGACCTCGAAAGCACAGTAAGGCAAAAAAAGGAAAAATGTTCTCACCACTTCCTAAGGGTAACTTCAGAGATGCGACCCTATCACAATAGGAGCTTGCAGACATCACAAGAAGTGGTTCCAGAGTGAGTGAGTCCTCCAGGGGCAGTAAGTAACAGAGCCTTCACTTAGTCACAGTGGCAGAAGCAGGGGCCAGCCACGAAGCATCGTGGGCAACAGTCCCCTTAGGGACATCTTGCCTCCACAGCAGCAGGGACAGCTTGAGAGTTGCAGATGACAATGACTCAAAGAAGTGATAGAAACACCTGTGATTGCAAAGCCAGCAGCCGTGACAGATTTGAGGAGTCTTCGTTTTTATTCCCTGCCCCATTTCTGTTCCTATTTGTTAGTTCTTGGGAAATATTGGCTACATTAAGAAAAGGCATTAATTATTTGACAAACGCTATTTAAGATAGCAGGTGTTGCATAATACATTTTAGTAGTGTTTTCATCAAAATGGTTCATTTTTCTAAAGTTTTTTCACTTGAGGGTGTATGTTTCAGTTATCTGTGAAATTCACTTACGTGGAACAGCTCACTCCCTGACAGAGTCAGATAAATAAGCTGTTGTTGTAATAGAGTGCTAAGCACTGAACAAATTTGATTAAAGATGGATTTAAGAACAATTTGTATTAAGACAGTTCTTTGTCTAATTAGGAACAAAGGGACTTCTATTTTCAATAATTATCTTTTAAAGTTGGGCTAGATTTTGTGAAGGATTGATTATATTGTCCAATTCCTTTTTTAATGTTATTATTCTTCGTTTCCTTCCCTGCGATAACCTAGCTGCTAAAAATGTAAATTTATGGCTGACTTCCTCTGTAGCATAAATATTCAAGTTCTGAAGTCAGCGGAGTTGCCTCAGAAAGATTTCTTTTACCAAGGGAAGGCAAGCATTTAACTGCTTCACAGCTAGCTGTCTTCTCCTGCTTGTGGGCTGCCTCTGCCATTCTTTGATGCTATAGCAGACTATGAAATTAACAACTGAGTATTATGATACTCTGCAGGGCATCATGCATCTGGCCCATGGACACATGTTGGGCAGTGTGACATGGATGAGCAACTGCAAATAGAGATCAGATTCCTAAATTAGATCGGCTTTTTTTTTCTTTTTTGCAACAGTGGCTTTCATATCTAATTTGCATACTGTACATTATCAACCCAAATGCTAATAAAATGTGCCCTGAGCAAATTGTTGTTTTGAATAGCAAAATGAAGTCTGTGAGAAAAAGGAGAAAGTACTAGCCGGGAGAATTTCAATGTACATGCATCATGTAATAATTTTTTTTCCATGCTTTTCCATTAAAATACTGGGTTTCTTTGTCTAGAATTGTTTTTAAGTGAGAAAGATGTATGCTTGTATCTGGACTTCAGGCTGGCTATCTCCCATCTGAGGCCAGAACAAAAGGTAGAAAATGTGCAAACTGGGAACCTCACCAACAGGGTTCAGCCTTGAACAAGATCACTGATGAGTCATTCTGGAAAAGCTGCTTCATAAAGAAATATATCATCCTAAATTTCAAGACAAGCAATCTCAGATTTCAAGACAAGGCAAAAAATTTCAAGACAATTTCAAGACAATTAGCATATCATTTCCAAAAAAAATGATATGAGCCTCACAATCTAGGTTTGAGGATAAAATGAAATATACATTCATACACATATGAAAATGCAATGCTTAATACAGTGCACATTCAGGGTAGACATTGTCAATTCACCTTTAGCTTTAAAAAAAAAAATAGGAACAAAAAGAAACTACCCAGAAGGCCTGAAAAGATGTCATGTTTTTAGACAAAAGGGTGTGGGTGCCATTTTTGTTCTTTGTCAGCTCAGAAGAGGCTTTCCACCGCCATCCACTTTCCCCCAAGAAATGCATTGTCATCTTAGTCCAAACAGATATCCTAAAGTGAATTTTTAAAAATCCATATTTTAGGCTCATATCCAGTTATTTTATGGGAGCTTAGAGCTTAAGGAACAAGGACGCATCTTTTAAATAATTCTCGATTCTGACTTTTAAAGCTAACAAATGGAAGATGCTTTATAGGAGATACACCAACAAAACACAGGAAGTTCCAAAACATGCATATTCAGTCGCACCTTCATCTGTGACTGACACAGTGCCAAGACCTGCATCAGCTCTTTTTCTGAGCCTCTTCCATAAACTGAAGTGTCCTATAAAGTCTGGTGAAGTACTGATAATTTCTCTGTGAATTCTCCAGAGACCTAACAAGGGAGTAAAGAGGGCACAAAAAGAAAATGACAATTTTTTCTGCTTGATGGGATGAGTACCAACTGCTATATGGAATGGGTAAGTGGCTCAAAAATTATTAATTCCAGCGTATGCATTATCCAACTATCATATTTAATAAATTAAAAACATAATTTTTTTCAGCCAGGCACAGTGGTACATGTCTGTAGCCTCAGATACTCAGGAGGTTCAGGTGGGAGGATCACTTGATCCCAGAATTTAAAGGCTGCAGTGAACCATGATCACATCACTGCACTCCAGCATGGGCCACAGTGAGAGACCCTGGCTAAAAATAAAAGTTAAAAAAAAAGACTTTTTCAAATATAGAATACAGATATATCAAAGATATATTTAACTCATTAATGACAAAACCTACAGAATAGTAAAACTGGTTCAAAGCAAAATTTGAAAGACTGAGTATATACGGGTACTGAAAGAAAGAATGCTGGATCCTATGTGAAGTCACATGTCCTGCCGGCCTGTAAAGCTGTAACCTTCAGAGTCTTCGTTTTGATGAACAAAAATTCCTTTCATCCTTACAGGATAAAATGTAGATGTTAGCAACATGAAATTGTGCATAGGCCTGATCCCAATAGATAGTAAATAGATGTTCAAAACAAAGATACATTTCCAAAAGATTTAAATAAGTATTAAATATTAGTATTAAATATAAGTATTAAATATTCCAAAATATTCTGTTGTAACATTGCAAAAACAAGCATTCATCTTTTTGCCTTTTTTTCAAGTTCTAGATAATGTTTCTTAACAGCATGTGAGTTATCTGGATAACTTGGACATCCTCTCAAGAAATGTTTTTCTGCTTTTTTTAAAAGGTGATTTAAGAGAGTTGTAGTGATTTCAATGCCCTTCACCATCTGAAATAGCCTTTCATCTTTGAAAACCCAGCTCAGAATACCCCCAAACTCCCCACATTAGAATTAGAATCCCCCAAACTCCCCACATTAGAATTAGAATCCCTCAAGCTCCCCACATTAGAATTAGAATCCCCCAAGCTCCCCACATTAGAATTAGAATCCCCCAAGCTCCCCACATTAGAATTAGAATCCCCCAAGC